AAAATTCCGACAAGCAGAGGATGAAAGTTGTACGGGCTGTTGCAGCAACCTCAGAATAGCTTCATCTTTTTAATGAACAGGAACCACAAACCCTGCTTTTGGGAGAGGATTCTCTGAAGGCATTGCAAAACCAACCAGATCTTCACCTCAGTGACTGGTGGTCACAAGTGATTAGACAAAGTTCAGTTTTAGGAAATGTGAGATTTTGCAATAAAATCAAATTTCAAATGTTGCAAATTACAGAAACAATCAGAATACAAAAGCAGAGAGATAATGAATAACCAATGGAAAAAATTGCATTTATCTCTAACAATTGTATTTACTGACTTTGGGATGGATGTGCCAGAGTAGAAAAGTCAAATTAATTTATAAGTAGCTTACGTCAATGACAACACCCCAGAAGCTACTACAGATGGCATCTTAATGAGCCCCATCCTTCTCTGAGCTGGAAAAGCCTGCTCTTCATCCATCAATATTTCCTTCTTATAGCGTGATGCTGGCCAAAGCAAACAAGACCCACCTGTCCACAGTGTTTCTGACCACAYAGAAAGAAAAACAAGTCTTTAATAGATTTTATTGATGAAAGATTTCAGATGAGGGTAGGAAAATACTTCATTTAAACAAATATGATCCAAATCATGCAGCTAACTTAAGTAAAACTGGTAACAATTTTAGGGAAAYTTTAAATTTGAGTAAAATYTAATGTACTTTATTTTACMTATTGAATTWAAGTAAGGAGGCCTTGAGAAAAAATAGAGAAACAAAATCCTAATAATCTGGGATTTTTAAAGAGAGAAGGACTCTTCARCCATGTCCTTTCACATATATTTAAATCATCATGACCTCAAATTATACATTAAATAATGTGGTAAAATGAGGTACAATCAGAGATTGTGTGACWTTTAGACCAATTCAAAGGTAAATGTTCATGAACAACTCAGGTTATCATGAGTGAATTTCTGACACTATGGGACCTTTCCTAGGTACACTGAATCAGGGTAGGTATGGTGAGTGAGACAGTGGCAATTAGCTGTATTTTAATTATAGAGTTTCTAATTAACCAGCAATTGAATTGTAACCCCACTTCATGCAGACTGTAATTGCAATGTCACTGTCCACCATCAGCACAGCAGARTTGAAAAAGAGAAATAATTTGCACAGGTCAATAAAGACAGCAGCAGTTATTATAAGGCTTGTCACAGCTAATACAGGAATGTTTCTCAGTGGCTTGTGATGGCCCATGAGATGCCATGGAGCCCAACAGGGAAGTAATCCTACTATASCTTCTAAAAATTAACCTTTGTGCCTGTAGGCAAACAACACCTCCTACTGAAGGCACACTGGAGCATGACARCATTACCAAGTGTTGTCTGTCTGTGAGTCAGACACAGCTGATGGGTGAAACAGGAATTTTGCATATTGAAAACACTATTTTATTTTCTCTTTCACTCTGGAAAAAAAATTAAAATTAGCAAAAATACTTGTAGCTCCAGCTGTGACAGCATTCAGATATTTATTTTAGCCTATCATTACTATAAGTTTACAAGGGAAATACTTCATTGTCTGTTTAGATATTCTCATGGGAATTTCTACTACAAATRTGTACAATATAGGAAATCCTTTGCAACTACATGATTTTAACTTTGTCTATCCATCTTCACTCACTGCTTCGAATGCTTTAGCTCATTTTCATGAACTCAAAGTCTGGGAGTTGCAATAGTGACAGGATGCAAGAGCAGCGAGGAGTATGAAAAGCAGGGATAGATTTTAATGTCAAACGTATACTCAACCTTCAGGAATTCCTGTTTCAGGAAAAAGGGAGAATAAATATTTACATAGAGTTGACTGCCCAGCTTATGTACTGCAAAACATAATATTAAAAAAAAAAAAAAAAAAAAAAAAAAAAAAAAAAAAAAAAAAAAAAAAGCAACATGGCCTTTGAAATCAAGTAATGACTTTTTAAAAGCAATTTTTCAATTTTTAACATTTACTTCTAAGTGAGTGTTAGGAGTATGAGACACACTTGCATTTAGCGAAGTCAAATACATAAAAACATTAAGGTCTGCTTTTATACGATGGTTATTTTTCTATTCTATAATGCAGCTTGCTCTGTTTCTGAGCAATCTGAGACTGAGTTTTGTACACTGAAAAAGGACTATTCAGTTCTAGTTTTGGGGTTCTATAAGGAAAACAAATTTAAGGAGGGGACAGTTTAAGCAAGATTTTCCTGTCAAACTTATGGGTTTGGAAAAATCTAAATTTTATTCTGTAACATTTATGAAATTCTTAGACAAAATGTAATACTGACAAGCATTTTCCATTAAGATGAGCAAAGAAAGTGCAGTGAACTCTAGGCCTATGCTGTTGTCATGTTAATTACATACCCTCTCCCATACTTTTTAGATATCTTTTTAAGTTTTCCATATAGCATTTATTCTTGTGCTGGCTGAGTGCTGCTATATAATACCAAAATCTCTCYCTCTCTTTCTTTTTGTCCCCACTAGTAACCAGAAATTGTGACTTAATTCTTTTTTCATTGAGGTCTAATAAAGTCAGATGAGGGCAGTGAGTTTGTACTATCACTAAAATCAGTGGTGGTTGCATCAGTTTGCATCTACTGATTGTGTATCTGCAGAGACAGAGCTGATCTACATTTGGCTGTGAACTCAAATAGTCATAATTCGTGTGCTTTTTCTGTTGCCCTGCATGGAGGGCTCACACCACTTGACTGCATCTGGTTGTAGCTAGAAGTCATCAACYCTGCCTGGAAGATGCGAGACAGTGACTGATACAGCTTGCACCCTGGAAAAAGTTAGGTGCACTGATCCTGTAAAATTCCCTGTACCTGAGTTTGTCACCCAGCTGACAAAGTGTAGAAAAATGGATCAAAAAAATGTACAAACTCTCATTTTTTCCCCATTACCTTCTTGGTTTGTAGATGTCTTCTCCAATTTTCTCAGAGACGCTCTTATACCAAGTTGTCTACAATAGCTACTATAAACAAATGACAAAACCACATTGTAATTCATTCATGGGAACATGTTTTCAAAAGGGATTATTCTTGCCAAAAAAGAAATCAAATATATCTGACTCTGAGATACAGGAGAGAAGAGCGAATTTTGAAATCATGAGCATTGATAAATAATGAGGTATTTCCTGGTAGCTAGGCTGAAAGAAAACTTTTGGCAGGTGTGGGTAAAAAAGTTTATKGTCTTTTCATAAGTGATGTCAATGAGCTGTAAATCAAGAATATCAGATGGTTGCATGTAAAAGGACCATGTATATATAAAAGCTTAACTTTGATCAATCATCATTACCCAGCAACAGGCTCCAACATTTATTTTGATGAAGAGTTTCTGGGACTACCTTTAATGTTACACTAGGTCTTTTAGTTGTTTGTTCATGTTAATATTAACCTCTGCTTGCAGGAGTTGYTCCAAATTCAGCATTAGACTGACCAAAACCAGAAACCTCTTGTGTAATGCTTAATGTAACCACTCCTGTGTTTTGCCAAGGGAATCTTACAGTGCCAGTTGTTTTCTGCTGAACCTTTYCTTACAGATCATTGTCCCTTTTGTCAACAAGGATGTGACCTATATTCCTCCCTGATTTGCTAAGGCTCATCATTAGATCTTGATGACTTACAAATTTTTGCAAGTTGCAGGGAGAGCTGGAAACAATTGCAGGTAAGAACAAAATAGACTACAGGAGGGCTGGGGGTGGGGGGGGAGAAGAAAGAGATGCTTTCTCTTCAGGTGAACAAAAAGTTATGCAACCTTGTAAGGGCACATTTAAACAGCTAAACCTCCTGTAGCTGCCATCTGTTACCTTTCAGTGTCATGCATGTTGGGCAGGAGTTAGACAGGAAGTGAGAATTTGATAAGAAGTAATAAATCAAATTCCAATCAACTTCCGAGCACCCTGACCTCTTCTACCGTGATCCAATATTCAATTAATATACAGCACCYGCTGAGAAAATAAATGAAGGTTTTCTGGTGAAAAAATGGGCTGCACAGTCATGCCTTCCTGAGGCTGAGCAGGAAAGGGCTGGCAAGAAAGGGCACAGCCTCTGACACTGGTAATTCCTGCAYCAGTTGTGTTGCTGTTTCTGCAGTGCCAGGGTACCACTCAAGCTCAGCATCACAGGAAAAAGCTGTGGAAGCAAAAGATGGCACTGGCAGGTGCTCCCTTAAAAACACCCCACGCTGCAGTAGCACTGGCATATGCAGCCTGTTGGGCTTGCAGATGGACTATCAAAACAGTCAGATTCAATATTTCTGGGAAAGCAGCATGTAACTGCTGTAGGCAAATCCAGCATTTGAGAAAAGCAGCAGAGAACAGACCATGAGAATGGAAGCTAAAGGACACTGCTTTTTGACATACAAGTCTTTATAAGCAATTTTAGATTTTAGTGGCTTCTAGTTGACTAGTCACACTTCCAGACCAGAATGGGACATTTCAAGACTTGCATTTCACTAGGAGTTATCCTTCTTGTTCAGCCTTGTGTCCCCTTGTGCCACCTTGCTGGTGCCATACTTTCCTAACTCCCAAGCTCATCCCAAATCCAAATACCCAGGCAGGAGTTGCAGCCTGAGCCCCACAGGTCCCACTACAGGCTCAGAGAAACCTCTGGGGAGCAGGAGCTGAAAGCACTGGCTCTCCACCAATGAAGCCAAAGACTGACACACATAAACTGACCCAAACTGGGTCAGTTCTCCTCTCTGGGATTACTTTTTTTTCTGGAAGAATGCTCCTGTTTGGGTTCCATAGCAATACTAAAACTATTGTTTGGAGATGGTGGATGCTGTCAATGACCTGCAGGCATAGTTATCTGGTATGGTAGAAATATATAACTAGGAAAGCAACAGGTCTTAAGTCCCTGCTACAAGCATATCATACAAACACCTGAACATCATAAATAAATGGCTAGCAGAAGTTTTCATTGGAAGGAAACAATATCTTTTAATCAGTGTTTCTCTCAGACACTGCCAAAGTGTTGTGAATTGAATTTCTTGGAAAATATCCAGTCTGGGATAAGCARATCAAATTTTTTAAGATAACTGAAAGTGTTAAAATTTGTCAGTGTTGCACAAAACTGAAAGGAGGAAGTGAGATATTAGGCAATCTTAAAAACAGTTCAGTGATATCATGTCCATCTGTACCTTGACCAGAATAGATATTTCCTTCACTTTGCATGCCTCTTTTCATGCAAGAAGCCTGACTTTAGCTTACTTCAAATGAATTAATCTTTGCATATGCTAGTGGCTTGTGTCAGACTAGATTTATTATGTGCTTATCTTTTCTGGMTATTTAAGATCTACGTCATCCTGTTGATGAGATTTTCCCAGCAAGCTGTAAACCAGTCAGACCAAGCATGCAGCCACTTAGTTGGGAGAATTCGTGTGGGATGAGTCAGTCCCGCRCTGTATCTGCAGCCTGCGCCGGTTCCTGATGGGGAAGTGACTCCAGTGCCCGACTGTCTCCGGTTCATGCAGTCCAGAATATGGTGAGCTGCTAATATGTTAGATTGGGATATTATTTTCTTTCAAAGATGAGTCTCCTATGGTTAGCATTGAAGATAATAGCTGTTATTCTGCACAGATCACTGTGTTCTTTCTGTAGTGARCAGCAATACCACCAACAGCAGTAAGTACAATTTAAAGTATGATTTAAAAAGCCATTCGTTCCCAATAGCTAAAAGAAAAACGTAGCTGGGGGGAAAAGTCTTTCCACACACAGCAATGAATTYTGAGCAAGGCTCTTTCCTTTCTGTGAAGTTCTTAGAGGGCCATAAGGAYGCAGAATGGGATTGTACCTTTTTAYTGCTCAGTGGCTTCCTCCTCTGTGYTTGTCTTRCTGTCRTYTTATCAGAGSCCAGCAAATATCAGCAAAGCAGTTACAGCCCTAAATTCATTCCTGGTGGATTGGTGAGTGCAGAGAAACACTGGAAAGAGACTTGTCCCCACCCTGCACGTGCCTCTGCTCTGTGCAGAGGATTCACTCRCCCTGCCGGGGCCAGAGGAGAGGCTGCTCCTGCCCTCGGGAGCCCTGGGAGCAGCTTTTGCTGCCGAGTGAAGGCAGTGGACCAAGAAATAGCTCTACTTGGCAAGGCTACCAAATGTAGAATATCCTCACCCTGTGCAGAGATAGTTTTTTGGCTTTGGATGGGTGTATTTTGCTTTGCTGTTCAAACATTATTTTCTCRGAGTCTCTCCTCTGTGCCTTTCAGAGATTTGCACTTATGCTAGGCTTTGGATTTTTAGTCCTTAACCTAAGCACTATGCTTGCAGAAGGAGCACAAACATTGCATTACTCTGTACAAACAGCTGGTTTTACTTGGCAAGGAAGAGTAAAGTTTTTCACCGAAAACTAGGAATAGAAACCATGGGAAAAGTCTGGAGCTCAATCATCACATCTGYTCTCTAAATTCCTCCAGTACAAATCTGGGCTAATTTCAGATTGTCTTCAGTGGGATTGCACCAGGTTTGYAGGAATAGAATTCGGATTAGTTGCTGCCAGATCTTCTTTTTTAAACCCTATAAAGAAATAATTATTTTGTACTAATAGCTTAATAAGAACTTGGGCATTTCCCCCTAGATTTCAAACATATRAATGGAAATTCAGGAACATAATTTTCCTAATATTGTGCTTTTTTTTTTTTCCTCCTGGGAGCTGCATAGATGATGAGTGGAGTTTTACACCTTAAAAATTCCTCTCCAGCTAGCATCACATACAGCCCTCAGAATTTATACATTCGTGGTTCCCCTCACAGAGAAACAGTTTTAAAAATGAAATGTGTGAAAATGAGAAACTTTCTGCTGAATGACCCAACTATACTCACAGAAGTGCAAGCTAAAAGAACCACAGTAGAAATCAATGCTGTTGTGAAWTTTTTTTCATTGTAGCAGTTCACATCCTTGAGTCCTTTTCTGTTTCTTCCCTTTTCCAGAATCCCTTCCGCAGTCTTGTATAAGAAGGATACGATAACTTTTCAACACGTTATYCAAATAGGTTTGAGGTCTGACAAAAGTGCTATTTCCATTCTCTTAAGTGCTGTTTTCTATTTTAATTACTTCATGTTTTAAAAACAAAATGTATTTTAGACTTTGTGGCATCTCTCTTTTGTGGTTTTCCAAAACACTTTAAACTACTTCTTGCAGAAATATAAATTTTCCAGAAAAGAAGTGCCACAGCAACAATTTTGTAGAAAAGTTTTCACTTTGAATTTTGATGTATAACTGCTTAACTATACAACAGACTCAAAAGACTGTTAAACTCTGACAAATTGTAAGTGCTTTGAGTTCTCACAGAAATAGAGATTGACATAGTTCTCTTTGCTATTTTAAATAGCTAGTCTGAGAACATTTTCATGATCCACATCAGCATTAAAATTAAATGGCTGTTTGACAGGAAAATGCCTGTTTGAAGCATCTGCACCAATAGAGTGAAAGCTTGTTCCCAAAATGTTCCTTCTCGCTCTACATTAGTTGAYAATTTGGCCTGCTTAATTACTGCCCAGAAGGGTGAAGGCCTCTTTCCCAGATGAGTATTTGGGTGTCTAATAAGTTTTTTTTCATTTTTCCCCAACTCTGAGGAATTGGATCTCGCTCCTCTCCGCAGCATATCCTCTTGACTCCCTCCAGCAGTTTCCCACTCAGCCTGATCATTGTTTCTACTTTTTTTTTGGTTGTCAGACTCTCTTGCTGTAGGAAGGAGAACCTTGCAGTGAAATCCCCGTCTGTGAATGCAGCCGCAAGAAAAAGAAAAGAACTGACTTGTTTGCATTCATTTTTATTTTTTGCACATAGCATAATAAAGTATCTAACAGAGGTCATCAGAACAGTTTGCAGGAAGTCATATCTTAACCAACATTGTTGCATGGGCCACTGAGGCACCCAGCTTAAGTGGGCTCTAGCTGATGGTCACCATAATAGCTGTCATTTACATTTACATTTACAAAGCAGTATCACATTTTAAAAGGCTGCATGGACCTTTGTGGAGCAAAAGATTGATCCTCCTCATCTATGACTCTGGTCCAGACAATAATAGGTGTTTACTTAAAACACTTTTTCAGTAGCTGTATCTTGCAAACAGCTGTTAACTGCTGAGGCTGTTGGATTAAATGTTTGTTCTGCAATCATACATAGGCTGGTAAATATACATTGTGTCACTCKCTTCACAATATAATTTTCCGAGGAAATCTTACATGCTGCTGTAACTAACCTATTCTTATGTATTTTGCTATATTTTAAAAGTTTACAGAAGGTAGATCTCATGGTGTCTTTTGTTCTTTGCTTAAATAATACTGGGCTGCTCTCAGTACAACCATAACATTTAATCAAACAAGTAAACATACTTCAAATGAATTCAATTTACCTATAAATAAGGCCCATTAAACAAGTATGAATGCWACTGCCATGATTTCATTCTCTACATGGGTGATAAAATAAACAGTTTGAGCTACTATTCACATCAACAGCTGCTATTGAATCAAAGAGCCAAGAATGCTATTGGTCACACCAACATCCTCCAGCAACGTGCGGGGGGGGTTCTGGAGGCTGATCCAGCTGTGGATTAAAAGCCTGTTCTCTCAAAATTTGTGTTTCCCAGAACTGTAATGGCAATGAAGAGCTTTTTGTGGTCTTTACAAGAAAGCAGCRCCACTCAGCCAGCAGAAAGCAAATAAGTGCCAAGAGCAGACTTCTAYCCAGCATGAAGGGTCAAAGGTAGGAGAAGAGGTTTTTAAGAGTATGCTTCTTCATATTGCCATTTCACTAAATTTTAGCCTTTGTAATTATATATGGAAGGGAAGCATTCTGCTTTGTTCTTCAAAACTTCTTCAGAGTTCAGCTCACTTGAACAGTTTGCCACATGTGTTTTGATTTATTTTGTTTCCATGTAATACAAGGCCATACATTTGATCTCAGTTTGCTCCATCCTTTGGTTGGAGTTTTTACTTTCTCTTATTTATTTATTTTTTTTTTAAAAAAAAAAAAAAAAAAGCCCTGTTTTTTTTTTAAGAAAACCTGTTTTCAGGGGAGATCATATTCCTTTTGTCTAGACAGTTTATCAGAAAACAACAGAGAAGTTATTAATCTTTTAAATCTTAAGGAAAACTAGAGATAGCATGTTAGTTCTTTCTGATTGGCTTCACAGGCTGCTTTACCATTTGTTTAATTTATTTATATTTTTATATAGAACAACTGAAGTTCAAAATCTATATGACACATTTACAACCTGCATGGGCTTAAGATCTTTAAAATGGTGGCAGTATATGCAGTTAAATTGGTGTTTAATTCTTTCTACTGTGAAAATTGAAAATTTGAGTTAATAAATATCCATCTGGTTGTGCTTTCCCTGTCTTGGKTGTAAGTGTGCTGAAAGAAGGAATGACAGGCAAGAAAAGAAACTTGATCAGACTGACAAAAATGGAAGGAAAAGACAAATGAAGTGATAATTAAAATGAGGTGAAAAGGAGCAGAGATGGTGTTAAATATTAGTAGGCAGAAAAAAGAGGAAGCCAAAAGCACTCCAAACAGTAAATAAATAAACTCGGATTTTGTGAGTCCCTTATTCCTGAGAATTCCTTTGACACTSGGGTGCCACTGCCTGGCCCTATTTGCGAAATCCCTCTCTATAACACAGGGTGTTGGTGGGAGCTGTCAGGGTTTTGCAAGCTACAGTTTATTGTCAATGTTCATTTAACTTCCAGTGCCATGGTGTGTTTGTAGTAACATTTGGTTTAATCTGGGAAATAATTTTTCTTTAAATTGTGTTCTATCCAGAATAACCAGAGGGGACTAGTCCCAAAGCAAATGGGTTAAATCAGTCCTGGCTTAATAGCCATGTCAGTTTTGACAACCATTTTATACTGTAATGATAGTGCTACTGAATAGTTTATGTTAATGATCTTTATTTTTTCACAATAGCACTATCTTTTTGTTGCTTAAAAGAAAAACAGATTTTTCAAAAATAAATATTGCTTGCCATGTGCTGAAGTACTTTCATTAAAAGTTTTCATGAAAAAAAGACACTTGCGAAAGGGACATGCTACTGCCTACACAAGAGAACAGCGATATTTGTGTCCTCAGATGGAAACTAAAATGATCTGAAAATGTTTCTCTCCATGTTCATGCCTTAGCTAAAAACAGATTTACATAATAAATACTACAGCAATGCCAARCTACTGGCACTGAAAAAAATCTAGAGCTTGACAGAAAAAAACATTTGCTTATACAGCAGATAATGTTTCAGATTTGTCTGATTCTTCTGTTTTATTTTGTCAGCAAAAGGGCAGAAAAGCTTTTTCTCCTCTTAGATCTTTTCCTTACATCTCTATTTACAGCTAGAGACTGCAATGATTTTCCAGTAAAACTTGRTTTGTTCAGTCATCACTATTGGGACAGGGTTGGAGGAGAGGTCAAGCATGRACTCCTGAGTTTTAGCCTTCTGGTTTTAGACTTGTAGGTTTTAGATTTATGTAACAAAAATAAGTTGAGGGAGCCTCAGAATGTAAAATTACTGGTTTTCAAGAGCGAAGTGAAACAYACAGGACTCCAGCAAATATTGATGAAGAAGACTAGGACTGAAAGCAGAAATAATGAAAAGGGTTTCTCATCTGCCCACTGGACAAGGCATTGCCCATTGCAGGCCCCAAAGAGTCACTGGTGTGAGGACACCCCATTATGCAGTTTATTTCAACAAAGGAAATTCCCATTTCAAGGGAAGTCAGATGATAAAAGTGTCTGTTCTGCTAAGTGTAATTGCAAAATACTTTCATCCTTCATAACTAATGAAATGTGCATTTCCTACACACCCAGCTAAAKGAAGGTGTTTACAATGCCCTTTTATTTTCCTCTCTGCAGCTCAACCCGTCTAGAAAATGGAAAACCAGTTGTAAATGTGCCTCAGAATTAGGGAAAACAGTACCTGTGCTGCATACCTGTGTGGATTTGAGACCCCAGTAAGGATGCAACTGTGCTGTGAATCTGTAAATGGCTCTTGCATCAGGAGCAGCTGGTCAAACAGCGTCCGTGTTTCCATGTACATCTTCATGGTTTGCGTTATTCTGGCCACGGTGGTTGGAAATTTGACAGTTATCATCTCAATATCACATTTCAAGCAGCTCCATACGCCTACTAATTTCCTGATACTTTCAATGGCTACCGTAGATTTCCTGCTGGGATTCTTCATCATGCCTTGCAGTATGGTGCGCTCTGTTGAGCACTGTTGGTATTTTGGGGAGTTCTTCTGCAAGATCCACACAAGCACGGACATTATGCTGAGCACGGCTTCTATCTTCCATCTTTCCTTCATATCCATCGACCGTTACTATGCTGTGTGTGACCCCTTGAGATACAAATCAAAGATAAACACTTTTGTCATCGTGGTCATGGTGTTCGTAAGCTGGATGGTTCCTGCTGCTTTTGCTTTTGGGATGATCTTTCTAGACCTAAACTTGAGAGGGGCAGAAAAGATTTATAATCACGTCCACTGTGCGGGTGGATGCTTTCTCATTTTTAGCGAAATTTCAGGTATTGTGGCCTCYGTAGTGTCTTTTTACATCCCTGGACTTGTTATGCTGTACATCTATAGGAAAATATACTCTGTAGCAAAGAAACAGGCAAGATCCATCGATGCAATYAGCAAAAAAAAGATGCAATTTGAAATGAAGCACCACATTTCATTCTGCAGGGAAAGGAAAGCTGCTAAGACTTTAGGCATAATAATGGGAGTGTTTCTCATCTGCTGGACTCCATTCTTCTTCTTCACAGCTACCAATCCATTCATGAATTATGTGATACCACCTGTTCTCCTYGATGCTTTGGTTTGGTTTGGCTATTTAAATTCTACACTTAACCCAATTGTTTATGCATTTTTTTACATGTGGTTTCGCAGGGCATTGAAGATTATTGTTTTTGGAAAAGTGTTTCAACAGGACTCTTCCAGRACTCATTTGTTTTCAAATTAACATGTTTTAAATGGTTGGACTCATGGCTTTGAACTTTTGCCTGGAGGCTGAACTCCCAGGTAAGAGTGTAAAGGCAGGAAACACCTATTTSTTTGCCTATTTGCCAAATGTAGCTCAAGCAGACAAGCAACTGTTTTGCTTTATGTATTCTTTCATTCCAGATTGGGATATGTATGTGGTATTTTGATGATATCTATTTATTTGCAATGTACAGAAGAGCAAGGCTTCAGTTTAAGAAAAGCTTACAGCAGTTTATATCCCTGATCTTAATAAATAAAAAAACTATTCTGTTACAACAGATTAATTTCTTGAACAMGGTTTATATGTATTTGTTTTCATTTGTGTTCTTGTTCTGCCGATTGACGGAGGTGATTTATAGAGCACAGACACCAATGGAAAGAACGGTGTTATTTTACTATGAAWATTAAGGCAACACRAAAGTAAAATGATRYATCCAATAAAACTACATGCTTGGCTTTAGCAACAAGCAAAAACAAGAGGGGTAAATCACCTAATCATTACTGTGCAAGAGACAGGATAGTGATTGAGAAAAACACRTCACCARTTGCCAAAATACTTTACCATCATCCAGAGCCTGCAATTGCYTGGGRGCTCTGTTTCGCAGTGAGGACATGGAGAACCCTTTCCCACCCATASGTGAGGTCACCAAATTCAYCCCAGAAGTGGGTCCAGCTTTTATAGTCCCAAATCATCAAGTTCAAGTGACTTGATTAYATTTTTAKCACAGAAACACCTGGATCTGGTGGCACATTTCCTGACCAGCCACAGCCAGGGCTTGGCCAGAGCCCAGACCTTGACTGGGAGGGTTTTCYCTAAAATACCCTACAAMTRAGCCTCTATTMATGTCAGTTGGRAAAGTTTCTTWAAATGATMAATTTCTTGCAGATAACTACCCAAGGTGATAACAGCTAGCATAAGCATGTTTATAATCTATTTTCAGCTAAATAATACRGATGGTGTTAGTCACAYAGTGCCCAGGATTCATCCTGTARCTCAGCTCTGGCTTAGGCCTKCTGGTCAGGCYTCAGCACATCAGTTCTCCTYTAGAAAGACCAGAAAGACMTTYTCCTTTKAATTTCTTGGCATTTTTGAGTAATAACCTAAAGCTCTCTAAGTTTTGTCCTTCCTCTTCCATATGTGTGCATAGCTCAAAAGAGGCCAGTAACCAGCCATACCACCAACTCCATGAAGGAGGGGTGAGGCAGGGAAAAGTAGCGCTGCTCTTTCCGTTTCCATTTCAGCTGGTACTTGTCACCTACAAGTTTGTCACTTAAAGGCTTTGCTGCTTTTTGAGATCAAAAGAATGTTTAATGAGATCAAAGACAGAAAAAAAAAAAAAGAAAAAAAGAAGTACTAAGTGAAAAGCAATAGTGAAAAAGCTGCATTGCACCTGAGAATGCTGGAAAATTATGCCTATCTAATGAATGTTTAGATGTAAAAATATTTGCCACTTTGCATCTTAGAGAACTATTTTTAGCTTGGTCATGTTGTTGTTTTGTCTGATTGCAAAACAGTGACAGGTTTAGAGAAAAGCATATAGAATTGTGAAGAAATCTTGTGGTTGAACTCAGTKGGATTGTGAAGGAACAGTACTGGCACTGGGCAGGAAATGATTAATATCTGAAAACAGACCATGGGGAGAAGCTGATGACTCTGTACTGAAGTAAGAGTTGTACTCACCAATATGTTCCTTGTAGAAGTGTTTCATCCGTACATCTTGTCTTCATTTCCTATACTTCGTAGAGCATTGAAGCACTCTGTGCTGAAAACCTTAAAAGTTGGATGATGATACATTTSATCAGGGCAAAGTATCAGGATCTGAGTTTGTGTCTTTTACTGTTCCATTGCCATCTTGTAAAATTTGCACTCTCAAAAAAAACCATAGAAAGGAACAATGAATCATACACCACATCAGCACTTCTGCTATGGTTCCTTGCTAATGACAATGTGACTGCTTCAATACTTAATCTCACAAAAATAAAGCAAGATAAAATTTTAAAAAGTCTTTTTCTGATAAATAATGGGTAATTCTTTTTGTCCTTCATCTCCAGTGAGTCTGGCCTGCTGAAATAAAATGTGTAGTCACTTGGACACCTTGATCTCACTCGAAGTAAGAGTTTCAGAASTGCTGCCAGGTGTTACCTCCTTTCTTCTGGTAGTATTTTAGATTGAAGGAAAAACAGATCCTCTATGATAAATGTTGCCCATCTACAACATTTTAAAGAGTATTTAGTAAGGTCAGCACATATTAACATTGTCCCTTCAGGAAGTCAATGAAGCTGTTTCTTTTCCCTCATTCCTTATATCTCTATCTTCTTGAAAATTTGGAAACATTACTGTGTTTTCAAGGAATTCCACCTCTACAAAGTTTACAATTGGTAATTTTCTTTTTATAACTTGTTCTGGTTGCATGAGGAGTTTGTGGATGAATATGATTCCAACTCACTTGTAGGACAGGCTGTAGTTCTAATAGAGCATGTCCCTGCAGTCTGTGCCTAGATCCTACTGCAAAGCCAATTCTTATAAAACCATAGAAACCAGAACCACTCTCCTCAAGTGAGAAAAAGTTGTGGACAAAGACGATCTAATAGGTAGAGCAAAAGCCATGCATGCAAGTAAAGCAAATTAATGAATTCATCACTACTTCTATTTCAAAGCAAATCTTCAGCCATTTCAAGGAAAGCAGGGATCCATTATGTGTAAGTGGTTACGTTACTTGGGAAAACAAACACTGTAAGTCCCAACAACCCAGTTCTTCCTTCTTGCCCCAAGGTTTTACTGCTGAGCACAACATCACAGGGTGTGGTGTAACTCTCTGGTCAGCTGGGGATCAGATGTCCCTTCTGTGCCCCCTCCCAACTTGTTGTGCCCCCTCAGGTGACTCAAAGAGAAAGCCTTAAAACTGTGTAAGCACTGCTCAGTCTTAACTTAAATGGGAGTTGCTTATGTGTGACCAACATTGTTTTCATCATAAATCTAAAACATAACACCACACAACTAGCATAAAGAAAATTAAYCCTATTCCAGCCAAAACCAGTGTGGGGGGCATCCAAACATTTTGGCTGCATAAGATCACCATAATCTGTTTAATGTAAATGGTGAAAGAAATTTACAGTGTACAGACCAACAACTGTCTAGGCAAGCCAGCCTAGCCAAGGTGTCACCAATCTTTATCCTCCGCAGAACTAAGGAGTTTCTGCACACAGATCGCTGGTGACCAGAAGGCCATCCCCCTTGTTYTTAATAACCTAAAGTATAAGCCAGCTTTGTGCATAGTCCAACTTGGAAAGTTTCAGAAATAACTTTTTCCTCTGGTGTCCTATTACCTAAAGGTGGCACTTTCCCAAAGAACCTCCGTGCCTTCTGTTCACGGAGAGCCTTCTCTAGCACAGTGGCTGTAATGAAATCCCATTACTTTCTCTCATTTCTCTGATCATAAACAGCACRAAGCTATGTGAGGGTGATGTGCAAATGAGATGTGTTAATGAGGCCACAGGGACTCTGTTTGAACCAAGACATGGATAAATTAGGATAGCATAAGAAAAATGCCTCATGCTGTTGTCCAGTCAGATTATGAGTTAGATCTGGTAAAGCAGAATATACCTTACTGTGATCTCAAAGTACCATAATGCAAATGAAGTGCAAAGAGTCTTGTCAAATTTCTTATCAACATATTTAATTAGTGACCTTTTTGAACACTTCCCAGATGGCCACCTTTTGCAAAACACATTATTCCCCTGTGGGTGATTTAAGATGTTTTAACTTCCCTGAAACTTGTGCAAAGYAATTGCTCCCGCATGATAAAAGGCTCTGTTTCACCAGTAAACTTATGTCTGTTCATTTTTCCACCAGTAAGGACCATTTGCAATGTCACCTTCTTCTCACTCTTTGTACAAAACTGACGGCAAGTTTCAGAGTYCTGAACTAAGGACTTTAGACTTTTGGACTTTTGTGTCCAAATCTCATGATCCTGCCAGATGCAGGAGGATGGGAAAAGAGGAGGAGCACCAACTGTCCATGTAGGACCCTTCTGCAAACATCACAAAGGAAACTGTCACTCCAAAATGGAGTATTTTAAACTCCTGGATAAAAAAAAAATATATTCGTGCAGTGCTCAAACAGAAAAACTGAGCTGCCAAAATGTGTAAATATTGCGAAGTGTACGTCTTTTCTTAAATAATTAACTCATCTAGTCTGTGCACATTGCATAYTCKCTGTCCTCTACAAYRCATTAATACYCATTCAACAAGGGAGAAAATACTGKATWCAGTCAAATATAARACACAGTGTTATAMAAAGGTCTTTTACTTMTGCAGATTTCAGATTACCTTCATCMTCTATGACRTTATWTCCACRYTACTACACTTYGAGACTTAATCCCRAAAAAGAATATGTCTGYCTGTAAGCATTTTGACTAATCTRCTTTCATTAGACATAGACTAAAGTTTATAAATTTATATGACAGAATGACTGGCCTGGTAGACAAGGGAAGAGTAGTTATTATTATCTACCTAGTCTTCAGTAGGGCTTTCAACACTGTCTCATAAGATTTCCACAAAGAAGATAATGAAGCATGAGCTGGATGAGAAAACTGAAGTGGATTGGAAACTGGCCAGGACCAGAGGGTGCTGACCATTGGCACAAAGTTTAGTTGAAGGCCAGCAAATAATGATGTACCCCAAGGGTTAATACTAGGTCCAATCCTGTTCAACACCTTCATTAATAATCTGGATGATGGCGCAGAACGTACCCTTTCAACCTCAACAATTCCATGATTCTATGATTCTATGAAATTTAATTCCCATAATATTTACTGAGTCTTGCACAATGTTTCATGGTCTGCAAAAACAGATGTATTTAATTTCCTACTTTGTAGGTTTTCTAATAAGATCCTTTCACCTTCATGCTGCCACTTTAAATTAAACTGGTTTCATGGGAAATTGAAAATGCTTCTCTGAAATGATTAAGCAACAGCCTTTGTAAAACAAATCAATTTCTTAAGAGAACAGAAGTAACTGGTCTCTTGAGTAAATTCGACAATGGAAGCTCCACAGCCCAGTCCTAGATGCCTCAATTTCTTATTTCCCATAGGTATAGGAAAAGTCAATTTCCTTAAACACTAGGTGCTCATAGCATGAAGACTAAAAGCTACCTGTCAGTTAGAGAGGGATCACTGAAAAGACAGTACATCCCATATCCTTTGGGCTTTCTCAGTTAACGACAGGAGAAAACAATTCTTTGAGAAAACTTAAGCTTTTCTTTTGCTATTGTTGCTCTACTGAAGGAAGGTCAGAGGAATAAAAGCAGTTAGTAATAAATAATCAAATAATTCTCTTCAATCAATGTGTAAGTCCAACATGGAAATCATGAGACACAACATGACTTTTGTCTACCTTAGGTCACCAAAAGAGCTCCCCTATACACGAGGGTAAAGGAATTAATACAGCAAACAAAAATAATGGTTTTGGGAATACAGATACTTGATTTTCCTTATCGTCTGTTGATGAAAACGCCTAAATTGCATACATATATTTAGCTCCAAATCTACTGGGAATTMAATGTAATGTCATAAAAGAAAAATAAATTACYGTCTTTCACTAATCTGAATGAAGCAAYRRAGGGGATCTRTCACCCACACTGCAGTTTTGCAGGWCAACAGCAAAACAGAAAAWTGTCTMATTAAAAAATTTCTTTAKGGCATTATTAAGAGAKGCAGAKAGGATTAGGCTACAAAACTGGCTACACAAGTGTGTTTTTAAACTTTTGATGCACAATTTCTGTATTTCTTCATTCCAGGGTGATACCTATTGGAAAAAAATCAATGGACTAAGCTGCTTCCTATGTTCCTTTTAAGTGTGTTAAACTCCTGTGGAGAAGAGTATTTCTTTCTGCTTCTATTTCTAAATTTGCTCTTTGTCAAAGCAATTCATCAGGAAAAGAGWTGGAAGAAATGGGTCTGGCTGTCCCCACATAAATGAAGGGAATTTTTCTACCCTTGAAACTATTCACTAGTATATTCRTTTATAACTACTGCACCTGGAACACAGCCCTTTACAGGAGATAAAGCTCAACCTGTCTCCACACCCTTTTAGTCAGTGGGATTATAATGATAGAAAATGGTTGTATATGTAGGGGAAGAAGAGAATATTGGTTGTCATACCAATTTTACAACTGATTTCCATCAGAAACATTCAATGCTAATACTTTGTGATACACAGCAGGTGAATTTAGCAGCATAAATAATTTGGTGAGTGAGTGCTTGGCAACTGATTTGTGACTCTTAAGATGAGCACCTAGGTGAGAAGCTCGTTAACTGAAATCTCAAGAAAGCTGAGGTATACCAGCTTGTATAACGTTTCTTCTTTAGAAAAAAAAAATCAATATTCTAAGAGGGATATTTATCCTACATAATATTTACAGACATTGCCATCATTGAAACGTCTTGGAGGGTTTCTTTGTCTATGTATATTTTTCTTCTATTATGTTAAATTTACTATTATTAAAATGCATACAAAATACAAGAACCATATTCTACAAAATGCTCCAGGTACAAAATAAAATAATATAATTCTGTAAGTTAAGAGGTAATCATRTTTTCAGCTTAACTGTTTAAGCTTTCAACTGCTTTGTTTTAAAGACTTTAATTTGCAATTAATTTTGTAATAGCTTCCAGTTACTAAATTTCATGTACAATTCCAGAAGAATAATTGATTGTAGCTGGTCCCTATTTAAACCAAGAGAAATWTTGCCTCTGATTTACTGCATTTCATTTAGTAATGGAATTTATGCTCTTGCCTTACTTTATCTTGTATTCCCATGTAAGAATTTGGAGTATTTTGGAAACTTGTAAAAATTAAATCTGCTGATATAACTCTGCTTCCAAAAGAGAAGCCTAATAAAGGATTGAATATGCTTTCTCCAAATATCTCAAATTATTTGACAGATTGCTCTGAGTTTGGAAACAGATCCTGTCCTGAGAACTTTAGGTCAGCAGCAGTACATGGGGTAATGTATCTATTCATAATAGCAGTCTTCATTCTCACCATCTTTGGGAATCTGGCCATAATAATTTCCATCTCCTATTTCAAGCAGCTTAATTCTCCCACCAATTTCCTCATTTCATCCATGGCAGCCACAGATTTCCTGCTGGGCTTTGCCATTATGCCCTACAGCATGGTGAGGTCTGTAGAGAGCTGATGGGTTTTTGGGACTATATTCTGTAAAGTTCATTACAGTTTTGACTTGATGCTTAGTTTAGCTTCCATTTTCCATCTTTGTTCAATTGTCATGGATCATTTTTATGCAATCTGCCACCCTCTGCTTTACTTAATCATCGTGACTGTTGCAGCTGTAAAGTAAATCGTAGCCGTGTGCTGGTCAGTGCCTGCTGCTTTTGCTTTTGTTATGGTTTTCTCTGAAGCTTATGCTTCTGGAACCAAGGGCTATGAAATGCTGATTAAATGCTMAGGCTTGTGCCCAATTGTGTTCAACAAACTGTGGGGGGCTTTTTTATTTACCGTTGGTTTATTTGCCCCTGCTTGCATTATGATAGGGATTTATGTTAAAATTTTTACTGTCTCCCAAGGGCACATTTCAGAGTTAATCCAGGCACACAGGCATTCAAAAAATAAYAAGAAGTATGAGCTTTCTAAGAATAAAGACAGGAGTAGACTGTCTGTATTGTTATGCTGGGTTTCTTAATATGCTAGTTGCCTTGTTTTTTTGCAATCTTAATTGATCCATTTAAAATTTTTTCTACTCCTTTACCACAGTTTGATTCATTTAAACTGGCTTGGGTATCTAAACTCTTTCTGCAATTCATTAATATATGGATTTTTCTATCCATGGTTTCAGAAAACATTGAAATATATCTTAAAAGGCAAAAACCACCACATTTTCGTACAATAAAACTTTTATCTGAAGACCAGTCAAGTCATAGACTCTACTAGTGGGAATAGCTCTAGAAATGAAGAAGAAATTGATTACTGGATATTCATGGTTTGGTAAAAGCCTGAAATGTGAAGTATGAATTTTATGAGTCAGTCTTGTAGAATTAACTCATTTAGTATTTAATAAACCAGACTCATTTATTTATATATCACTTGTTTTCACTCTTAATGCCTTGATAGTGTTTCAGAAGTATAAGTCTTTCTAAAAAATCTCTTAATGCATTAGTTTCTTTGTTTTTGGTTTTTTGGTTTTTTTTTTTTTTAAGAAATTATTTACATACAGGTTACAAATTCGATATTTCATCTAATCTTCTATGCATGCAGCTAATCATTCTTAGGGTTCATTCTTAATAACCCTAAACTAAACGTATCCCAGTCTCACATAGTACATATTTGTCACCCTTTTGTGAAGGGGGCATTAGCAGATGTATTTGCTCTTCCCAAGCAAATAGAATGGGAGTGTAATTTTGGCTTGAAGTAGATCTTTTCCCTTGAAAACAATAAAATCAGGTTTTCTTAACCCTTTGTCCTCCATGTGTTTTGTCCTTGGGAAGGAGTGTTCTGGAACAAGATCATGGCTTTCACTCAGCTCTRTGCTTGTTCAATCTTTGTTTAGAAGTCAGGCTTCAGATGTTATAAAATACGTTTGCTGACAGCTCACCACATCTTCACATTGAACTGGAACTTCTAACTTAGCTCCTTGCCATGTATTCACATCAGTTACCTGTTTAAAATAAGCTTAACTGTGTTGTCTTTACTGAATGCAGGCACTGCAGTGTTTTTGTTGTGAATTGTACCTCTGACTTACCTTTTGCACCACACATACAGTGTGTACTCTACTCTTATTGAAGATGAACCACCAAAAAGCCATCCACATTTATCCACTTTTTGACTTATCACATCTGCATGATGTGGCAGTGATAGCCACTTGTTTTGTTTGCTGAAAATTTTTAATGTATTGGTGATAACATGAACATGTGCTATTTTGGATGTGGAGAATTCCAGTTTCACGCTGACCCTGAAACACTTAACACAGCAAGGACTGGTAGATCACAGACTTGTCTGAAGTGCTATGTAAGGCTCTTCTCTTTCCCAATAAAAACTTAAACCCCAAGATCTTTAAGTTGACACAAGTACATTCTTTGTGCACATTTGTCACTAGCTGAACAACCAGAGCAATGAACAGAACAGAGCTGGATGCAATGAAGGCTTTAGACACCTAGAAGGTGGATAATATGTTATCCCATGCATTGCTCCATCCACTCCCAGGGATACCCCTGGATTAAATACAAGGGCATCTGGAGCAGTACTCAAGGAGAGCAAGAAAACTGAGCAGCAGGTTGTTTGCAGCCAGTGACTCTGGTCTGGAGAGCTGGAACTCCAACACAGCCTAGCCCAGACTTTCACAGCCTGTGCTGTTGCCTTAGGATTGTCTAAACTCATCTTAATCTGTTTTGGCTCCTGCAGTGTKCTCCTGGGGGCCAGCTGTCTGGGGAAGCAGAGGGTAACCTTTGCATACAACACCTTTCACACAACACCTTAGTGGCCATGGTACCATCTGAGCTGTCACCAGGAGCTTTCTGATTCTTCTTTTGGAGCTGAGCCACGTGAATTACACAGTGTTTGGGGGGAAAACAAAAAGCCTGCAGTGGGTCAGCAATGGCAGGGAGAGGGGAGTTCTCTGTAGCAGTGACATCTTACAGCCAGCTCTGCCAGATCTTGTCTGCATGMAGCTCAATGTGACTTCTTCAGAAAAACTTGCAAGCCATTAAGCCCRTCTTTGTGTTAAAATTAGTCCATGGTGGGGAATTTCTGAAAGCTAACAAATTATGCATGGTCCCTGACATCCTTCCAGCAGTGTGACCATGAGTCAAATGATGGATCACAGAAAATTATATATAACACTAGTCTCAGAGACAACTACAGATGTTATTTTTAATGTCTTCACAATGTTTGCTGCAGTATTTTCCACACTACCCTACTTTTTTTGTGGAGTTTAAATCCTTTCTGTTAGTTGCACAAGAATGTGTTACATTAATGCTAATTGTCTAAGTCTTTAAACACACATTCAGGTATTCCTGAAAGCTCTTCTAAGTATTAAATGTCTTGCTGGTGACACACAATGCAATTGGAGACATTTAAGTAATGATCAAATTACTTCATTAATAAAATGAATCATAAATCATTTAGAGTCAACTCAATACATTATACCTCCTACAATGACAACTCTTGTCTCAGACAGCACATTTTCAGGGAACAATGCTGACCTGTCTGTGAGGTTTCAATGTGTCATGTACTTCTGTGTGTTCAATGAGGATGTTAAATGAGGATCTATTTAGCTAGTTTTGCTAAACAACTTGCTACCTGTTAGTAGGTCTTCAGTTGTTCTTCKGGCCAAGGACTTTTGCAGATCTGTCAGATGGTGTAATTTTGCTYCTGATCACTGTGGCATGGCAGGGTCCTCTATCTGCTGTTAAGCCTGATGCTGGTGCTAAACTTGCTGCTAAAATATACCACAAAACCTAGGGAAATACCACAAAAGTACCACAAAATATGGCACAAAACCTAGGGAATCAGAACAAAACACATTTCTATTTTTATGGGAGAATCTGAGTGTCTATGCTGTTTTTTTGTTGGTTTTTTTTTTGTTTGCTTGTTTGGTTGGTTTTTGTTTGTTTGTTTGTTTGTTTGTTTGTTTGTTTTGGGGGGGTGGGGGCGCTTTTTGGAGGGGCTGGCTTTTTTTTCCTGAAACACATGTTCATACATTAATCTGTTTTTTTCCACACTACACAGTAAACTGTTTTAGCATGAATTCTGTTCTATATCAAATCCAGACAGTGTTTTTATTCCTCAGAGAATCAGCCACAAGGGTTCRAATGTATTGTATCTTTATTTCTGTGAATGATTCCAGCAAGAGCTAATGTTGCCCACAGAGGAAGGGCAATTCTGGCTTCAGGAGGGAGTTCAAGCTTCCACATTCAGGTGAGGGCCTCAGTCTGAGAGCACTTCCATGATCCTTTTCCTTTCTGGTACATCCCAGTTTGAACATTCAGGACAGATAGATGTGATTTAGAGCATCCCAGCCAGGAAATCTCCCAGCCTCCCTCTTGCAATGCCTCAGACAGCAACACTCAGAGTTATCTTCAAAGCCAGTTATTTTTATTCCAAAACGTGCTATATTTTTGCTCTCCAATGGTTTGCAGTTCCGGGAACTCGCAGGTGTATCTGCAGTGCCTGCTTGTGGTCASAATAGTTAAACTCTATTTTTTTCTTTTAAGCTTTTCTGTGACATCCCAGCCATGGAGGAAGGATTCCCTACGCTCTTGTGGAGCCCACAGGCAAAAGCAGCTTTGACAAAAAGGGCAAAACCACCTCATATTAACACCTTAAACACCTTAAATTAATTTAAGCAACACCTTAAATGAAATCCTTGAGCTGAAAAACACCAGCTGAAAACTTTCAGAATAAGATTGGTTTACTTTTGCAAGCTCTGTGCTGATTTTTATTTCAGATAAAAGTTTTTAGTAAAACTAAAACTTCAGATAAAAGTTTTTAGTACTTAACGAATATTTAGCATAATTCTTCAAGATTTAAATAAAAAATTTTGGTTTTACAGGAAATATTTTTTCTGCTCAAAACTAAATATTTCAAAAAAGTCAGATAAGTCCATGTAAATTAGTGCTTACTAGCATCCGTTTTTCAGCTACTATGTTTTTTATCATAAAAACCTTACATTTTAACCAGCTTTAGTGATAATTAAGTAAATGAAAGTAACTCGTACAAGAAATTCCTGAAAAAGGCACATACAGATGTAACAATATATTGCAGTAATTAATTCATTTTTCTGTTTATACAATCTAATCAAATTATCTTCCCTCTGGATTGGTTGTCAGCCTTCAATGCTGCAGCAGCAACAGAGCTTCGATGAAGCATTACAGGGAACACTGAGATAGAAAAGGATGTGCAGTTTCTCAAAAGAGACTCATTAATCTTTTTAGCTATATATAAATCAAAAACATTCCAATTTTTCCAGTAAGAAATGAGGAATATTTTCACTTTTATTTTTAATTATTAATTTCCACAAAAAGGCAGGATGGGGGAAAAAAAGAGGACTCTAAGTTGCTTTGGGTTTTATTTAGYAAGAGAAAGGATAGTTAAACACACACCAAAAAGCAATCTGTTAGTGCTTTGGAGTGCAGACTAGATCAAGATGGASAAAAAGAGAAAAGGAGCCTCCTGAAGCATGAGGGGAGATAAAAACAGGTAAATAGGGGTTTTTTTACTCTGGTTTAGCACATCCTTTTCTTGCTCTGTGTCAGTTAGCAGAGGCTGTAACTGCAGAAGGCTGCAGGCAACACCAACTGGGAGGGAGGTGGCTGGCCTCAGCCACTCATCCCTATCAGAACTGACCCCCATCCTGCGCTCAGACACTTGAGTTTCAGAACCCATGAGTGACTGAAGCGTACTGACACTGCAGGCACCCAACACCAGCAGAGCCAAGAGCCTGATTTTGTCCTCTCCTCCTTCAGATCAGACGTTGATTGACAGAAATGACTGTCACAGTATGTGTGACTGTGATATTTGTCTCTAGACCTGATGTAACACTGTAATCATGATGGTTTAAAGGCATGTTTGAAGGTATGAAGATGTTTTAAATAAGGAGAAGCAAGATTTGACTCAAAAAAAAAGAAGGGATTATGTACTAATGAACATTTTTTTCCCAAGAAAACTTTCCTCAACAGATCTTTTTCTTCAATGTGTATTTGTTTTACCTAGTTTTCTTCCCCAGGACTGACTGTGTTGCAATACCTAGTTGAATACATCAAGTTGCCAAATCATGACTTCATCCAGCCTTTGGAGCTCAGAGCTGGTGTAATATTGGTTTGATTTTGTTAAGATCTCAGGCCYCAGAAATGCAAGGCATGAGCTTTGCCACTGTGCTAYGTGCACACACACTTRTGGAACCATCCTGTCCAAAACRGTGGGAAATATRTCTGTGAATGCTTYCAYCCAT